TACGTCCATGCTTTAGTGGCAAAAGAATTGCTTGAATATAATGCCAAAAGAAGGTCAAACACACATTGAAGAACACATAGAGCTGATCTTACAGGTTAAGGGGCAATAGTCATGTTTCCAAAATCCACAGCAATTTTCATCAAACTCTTAAAATGTTGAGAAGAAAATTTGAAGTTTTTCCATCCATTGACAAATGTTTCATCTCCTCTCATGCACTTTTTTTTTTTTTTTTTTTTGTAAAACTCAAAAACCAACTCGAGTGTAAAAACGTTTGCGAAATTTGGAAAGTTGAGTTGAATTTTGCCGTTTTCATGGAGATCTTCTAATGTAATCCCTCAAAATGTGCATAAAAATTGTTGATGGAAACGTGTCTATTAATACAAATGGGTATATGGATAATTAAATCTCACATGTATAACTGTAGCCATGTATTAATTAGAAACTGTATGTTTGATCATTCCACCAGGAAAAGAATATTTTAAATTGTTTTTAAGCCTGTCTTTTCATTTTTTATACAACCCTAAAATATTAGATTGATTTCCTTGCCACTCATTTGAGAAATATCCCCAGAAAGACTTAACATGATATAGGTCGTCTTCCATGTTGGTCTGTATCAGTAGTGGGATAATCTGTTGAATTAAATCATGGCTGCAAATGTTTTCTCTCATTTTTGCACTTTGGACACAGACCAAGATTTAGCAGCAGGGAGCGACTTTTATTAATGAGATTGTGTCTATGGCTGCCTGAAGGCCTCTTCTGAATCTGGGCTAGTGGGTTAGGGGCAGAGGGGGATGAAGGATTTCCAAGATCCAGACAGATGTCATGTGTTTAGGGTGGGCATGGATATGACACTGTGGAGACATCCATACTCGTTTCTTCCCTGGATGAGAGAGTAACTTTAGCCTCTGTTTTACTGAAAGGGGGTCGGGCTGGCTGTGTCCCCACCTCTCTATACCAGAAACTAGACCAGACATGCTATTTCTCATGCAGCTGTGCACTAAAATGCTGTCAGAATTACTTGTGCACTTTAAACATTTCAATTTTGTAACATCATAGCTTTCAATGTCTCTTTTTATGTGAAGGGCAAACATGAAGTGTATATACCTGTAAGATGGAAGGAGAATAATGTGGTGTAGTTTTGTATTTCTAATATTATTCAGTCTCTTGTGCATGTGCACTCTGTACCTTTTATTTTTTTTATGGTTTGAGTGTATATATAAATTGTCTATATTAAATCCACCTGTAGTTGTGTTTACAGTATGAGTCAGGCTATTCTTGAAAGTTTGGAGAGGTGGTTAAAGGACATTAGAGAAAAAGCAGCATCATGAAGACCAAGGAACCCAGCAGACCAAGTGGTCAAGAAGCTTAAACCAAGGTCTGGTTATAAAACTTTATCTTTGAACATCTTGCAGAACCCATTATTGGGAATGGAAAAAGAATGTCACAAATGTAATTCCCTCAAGTTGGATAGGGCTGTCTGAAACGAATGCAATTAAAGGGAGAAGTAACCAAGAGGCTCGTGGTTATTTTGAGGGGCTCAGAAGTGGAGCATCATCACTTTCACCATAGTGCTCTGCTTGATTTATATATGTACACTGTTTTATGATTTAAATAGGGAATAATTCATGTTATGTGGACACTCAATTGAAAAAAGTAGAAGAGGAGAAATTAGAAGGACAAAAGAGAAAAGATGAAAGAAAAAGTAGACAAAAGAGATTGACAAAGCTTCATGAGTCTGAAACCTAAAATCTAACTAATTTTTTCAGAGTAAGTTGGTTGAATGTAGACATATGCACACCTTTTTATAATATTTGTTCAAAGTAGAACATGATTTATAATTGTAATTGCAGAATGCCATAATTCATGCTGGTCTATTGCGAACATTCTAATAGACTACATAGTTGTATGTTAGGTGTCAAAACGTACCTATACCTTGTTTGCAAGGTACTTCCTAATAAAATTAGGTATCGGCTGACTTGCTTATGCCAATGCAAGTTAGGGCAAACATTATGTGAAGCCCTGAAAGTCATTAAACAAATGAGAATTAAGTAAATTTACATGTACTGTGCTAACTGTACTGAAGTTGCACGACTCATAATGATACTGTCAAGAGCTAAAAATGCATCTCGCATGGAAAACGGAACTGATTTGCCTGAAACATCAGCAATAGATTTATGAAGCTGCATTACAAAGACAACACAGTGATGTTACAGGGCAGCCGATCGCTGTTTCATCCCCCCAGAGACTTGTTGACTGACTAACAACATTGGCTTGCTTTAAAAAGTGCAGCACAGGCAACCAAAACAGCTTGCGGCATGAGCATCGCTGGAAATGTTTTGGCACCAAGCCACGAGAGCCGACATGATGCACCATAGTCTGCAAGAACCACTTTCTACAAGTTGACTAGTAAGCAAATATCAACCCCCCCAGTCAGATTCTTCAGAGCAGAGATCAAACTGTTGGCATCTCTAAAGTCATTTAAAATGTCCTGCATGCAAATGAGTGCAAATAATTTGCACCGTTCTCTCTGAACTTGCTCAGCCAGACATTTTAAAGTTTCCCCTTCATGCTGAGTGAGCAAGCAGTTTTGGAAATTGACTGCTGAGTACTACTAAGAGCTGGACAACTTCTTTATGGGATAATAACACTGAACACAGCAGGAGAACAGAATGCAGAGGGAACAGCGAAGTAGAAAGGTTTGCAGGGTGTCTGCGTTTTTCAGAGCATCATGCTGTTTCTAAACTGCTTCTAAAACTTGACAGGTAAGAGAGAGATGCACCTTGGGAGCCATGAGAGGATTCTTTTTTTTTTTCTTTTTTTTTTTTCTGTGGGTTTACCCTTTTGTTCAGTCATTTTCCCTTGAATACATAAAACATCCTGACTTAATAATTAATTGGTTTTAGCAGTTTTATTTTCTGCTTCTAAGTAACAATACAGTTTTGTGAATAAAAATTTTGTAAGACCTGGAAGTGGTGGGCATTGCAGCCTAGTGGTTGGGGCATTGCGAGTGGAATTCTGAGGTTCTGTTCAAGCCCCACTCCCACGGACTGCCACTCGGGGTCCCTAAGCAAGACCCTTAACTCCACACAGTTCCCCAGGTGCTGCACAATGACAGCCCACTGCTCCCTAAGGGGATGTGTTTAATGCAGAAAGTTAATTTCACTTCTCTGTACTTGTCAGTGTAATGACAATAAAATAAAATAAAATGCTGAAACCTCTAGCATATTGGATATTTACTGGATAGATGGAGATATTTTGACTTGATGCCAACCTGTTTTGAGACATGAGCCCACTTTATAGCCTCATCTACTTGGATTGTGGGCATAGTCTGTTGCTGTAGTAGGCAGTAGATTTTTTTTTTGTTTTTTTTTCCTAGTTGCAAAGCCCTGCATCGAGGCAATGAGTATAACTGGGGCCCCTCTTATCTCTAGCCCTTTAGCAATGGGATTACAGTTCAAAATGGAGATGGCCAGCAACACAGGGCCAAATACTGCCAACTCCAGCACAATCTTTGTCATGGCTCATACCATTCCAGATCCTTTCACTGGCCAAAAATATTAAATAGCTGCTTTAAACGGGGAAGAAATATGTGCTGTAATTTTTCTTCAGTTTTCCTTTTCTAAACTGATTTCAGTTGCACCTTGCTTCACTATCTGGTAATAATTAAGTTTATACTAATTGAGATCTTCCAATTAACTTTTTAGAGGTCTTTGTAAAGTACCATGAGATGACAGGTGTTAATTGGTGCAATATCAATACAGTAAACTGAACTGAGTTTTATATGAATTCAGAGTCATGTCATACAGTCAGATGGTTAAATTGGTTAAATTGTCTGTAAGAAAGCCTAGCTGTTTGTATCGAGTCACTCCTCCTGAATTAGCATGTGGCCTAAAGATTTAAATCAATTAGAGCCCTCATTCAAGTTGCAAGAGGGGCATGAGAATGTTTTTTCTTCCTGTATGGATATGCCCCCCTTTTTTTTTTTTTGTGTTTCCTCCCACAGACTATATTCCGTTCTCAATGACTAGTTACCTGTAATGGGTGGAAGGTGTTTGAGCAGCTGCTGCTTTAAAACTGAATTCTTCAGAAATGTCCATAGTGCAAAACAATAAAGATCCTAGAGACATTTGAAAATCTAACTGAATTTTCACCAAGATTTATACCGAGGTATTTGGATCGTTGCTTTACCTGGTTAATTCCCAGTCATCCACCATGGAAACGACCAAACGGGCTTAAATCGGAAGCAATAGGACTTTCCCTCAGGTCTGGTAAAGATGCTTTGACACCTATCCAGAACTCTTTGTCTATTCTGTCAGTTCGCAGTAGTCCGGTTGCCTCTAAAGTCTGTGTATGGAGAAAGGTTTCCTACATTTCATGTCTATATTAAAGCTCAAAATTATTAAAACGGACCAAAGTTATGTTCAGCCTTCCTTATATTGCTGATCTGCAAAGTATTTATTTTCCCTTAAAATTTCATCAAATGCATTACTTTCAAAAACTAGTTTGGATTTCAATCACTCTGAAAGGTGACCTTAATTAAAGGGGAAATGGAATTCAAGCTCTGAAACATGCTTTAAAAGCAAAAATGTTTCACAACAGTGAAAATGTAACACTAGATGGTTAAAGTCTGTGACAGTGAGATATCAGTTAAACATGTGAGAACAATGATGAATTGATATAACTTTGAGCCATGGAAGCCCAAGAAGAGTTAGTGTTTAAAAAAAAACAACAAAAAAAAGATTTTCCAAAAACCTAATTTTGTAAACGAACAAATGGATTGATGCAAATGAATTACCCAGCCTTAGTTTATGGTTTGACTTAATTATATAATGCTGCCTTTAATTCATGTATCTATCCATTTATAGAAAGTTGTTTTTGAATGTTTGTATACAATTTTAATCTTTCAAGCTCTACATTTTTTTCTGATAAAACAACTCTATAGAGTTCCTTTTTTACTAATATAATCCATGACATACTGTTTCCTTTGTATTTTTCTTTAGGAGGGGACACCTGCAGCCAAGATGGAGGTGAAAACGTCCCTTCTAGACAACATGATTGGTGTGGGGGACATGGTCCTCTTGGAGCCCCTGTCTGAAGACTCCTTTCTGGAAAACCTAAAGAAGCGTTTTGACCACAATGAGATCTATGTAAGTATTTGACTAATGTTTGGGTTGTTTTTTGTTGAATGTGTTTTATTCTGTTGTGCTTAATTAGCAGTTTGACCAAACTAATCATACAATAACTTCAGACCTCATTTTTGAAACCAAGGAACAGAAATTAAATATCCAAGAAAAAATGCATTGACATGCATTTTTGAGGTGTCGATATTCCTTCAGATGCATTAAGCATGCTAACCCCTGGGTTCCAAAAAAGTAAAAAAATAAAAAAAACTACCAGACTTCGTTTTCAAGTTTGAAGACATTATGCTTACCATCCGGGAAGCTTTTTCAATTCAAAATGTTTGGAGTAGCACTGAGTTCCAAGCTTTAGAGTCCAACAAAAACCTTGTTATTGCTTATAAAACATGCAAATAGAACCGAAAGAACAGGTCCATCCCTTATGAATTGGGAGTCATTGAGGTTGTTGTTGGCCTGCAATACCCAATACTGGCCTATGCCTCTGAAAAAGGAGTCGTTGGGGTCATTTTTGGCCTGAATGAGCAGGCAAGATATTTTGGTCCCTTGCATAGTGATAGGTGAGATGTAATAGGAAGGAATCGACTCTATTGTAGTGTTGTAGGTTTTTGGGAGCTGGAACCTGAAGCCACCCCCTCTGTTTAAGTTTGGCTTACTGGATGGGAAGTGACATGTTGGTTGGGCTGTCCCAGCTGATTGCAACAATTCTAGTCAAAGTGGTTCCATTGAAAGGAACTGGCTCCTTGTCTGAAATGGGCAGCTGCTCTATTTTTGCAGCTTCAAATCCACGTTAATCTAGAGCAGAGCGGTGATTCTTTCAAAAGAATAAATGTAGAGATTTATTTACCCTTTTATATGAAAAGGCGAAAACCTAGACCATGATTGTTCTTCAGTTTTGAAGAACAATCATCTTATTTAATGCCAGCTGTTCTTGCAGTGAGCCTACCCAGGCTATAAACTCTTCAGAGTTTTAGTTCTTCCCTCATTTCTGCTTCTGGTCAAGAAAGCCTCTCATTAACATGTCATACTTTTATTGACATTGCACAGAGCCTTTTCCTCTTGTACACATCCTCCGCACTTTTAAAGACCTCACACTGCCTCTGGTGTTCTGTTGAACAAGAGGCTGTGGGTGGCTGTGGTGTTGCCACAGGGAAGGCCATGCTCCACTCATGTCAGAGTGGCTTATGCAACAGCTATTACCATGGAGAGCAAGGAGAATATTTCAGGTTGATGCTTTACAGTGCTGTTGGAGCACCGTTTTATGAGTAGGAGGATGAAGATGATAGCTGGTTACATTACCTTTCAGATGGCACTGACGAGGGCTGTTTGTTTTGTACCTGTTTGGACGTTACATAAAGTTCTGTTATATAAATTCAAACTGTGGGGTGGGGGAGCACTGGTTTTAGTTATATTAAAATATGCTGGACATCAAGGTGTTAAATTAGGCTTATGTTTGTAATAGATAAATGAGAAGTCTTAAACTAAAGTTAACTGGAGATCATTGGCCCTAGTTAATGTGTAGCTGACTACTAATTAATATTGAAATAGGCTACATACTTTGGTAACCCCAGAAATCAAATTTGATCCAATAGCCAGGATTAAAATAGGTTTAAAACAAGCTGGGGTGGGGAAAAAAGTGAAAATTTTAGTTAAAAATGCTATTTGCAAAGTGTTCTTTACTTGGAGTTGGAATATACATATTTGGAGAACAGAAGTGTAAAACACAATAAGTAATCAAAGATTGGCAGCATTTGTATGCCGTTTGCACAGAGCTGCTGATACATTCTCAGAAAACTACTGCCCAGTGCAGATTCCTTTAACTTCACAATGTCAAAGTAAGTGAAACGCAGCCTCAGTTTCACTTTAGGCATTGCGTGCCTCAACACCTGACTGTGAATACTTAGCTTTGCAGTAGAAGACTCACTGCCTTCTTATACATTTTTTATTTTTATTATTATTTTTTTTTTCTAAGGCTCTACAAAAGAGGTTAGTATCTCTTTGGTTGGTTTGTACAAAGCCTAAAATATCCTACACTTAATCTAACAGTTCACACTTCTTTGTTTTCTTCCCAGACCTACATTGGCAGTGTGGTGATCTCCCTGAACCCTTATAGGTCTCTTCCCATCTACACGCCAGACAAAGTGGAGGAGTATCGCAACAGGAACTTCTATGAGCTTAGTCCTCACATGTGAGTTGGTTCTCCATTACCCAAAAAAGTCAAGAAAATAATTTTCCAATCATGCTAGTTAGATTACAATTTTCCAAGGATGTTTAGGGATTTAGAAGTCTGATAATTTTATTTAAAATTTTGTTGTGAACAATCACTGTAACCTGGCCCAGGTAAGGTTCTGGTGAATCGGAAATCAGATCAATGTTTACTTTTTCATGTTTGTTTGTTTTTTTTCACTGCTGTTGCCCACAACCTCTCATTTGGCAACATAGTCAGGATTGCTGCTGGTCAGCCAATACAGAACAAAGCCCAGCTCATCAATTAAGTTGACATGGCTCTAGGCAGCTGCAAAGCCCCTCAAAGACTTCTGCTGAAAGAGCAAATGTACCAAAATGGAGAATCTGCCTCTAGACAGAAACAAGCTGAAACTTTGGTTTTGGAATCCCGGGAATCAAGTTTGGCTCTCAGAAATGTGATCCTTTTAGTTTCATTCTATTTTTGCTTTCATTCAGGTCATCTTCTACTGGTGATTAGCCATGGTCTGGACAGAGACTGGGTTTAATTTGAATAATATTGCTTTGTTGTATTTAAAAGAGAGGGGTTAGTGTTTCACAGATGCAAATGGAAGTTTTAGTCACAAAATAATTCAGTAAGTCTTTGTAGAAACTGTTTTAATATAAAGGGATTTGTTCAGAATTGGTCTGACACAGCCTGCTACAGTTATTTCTTTTCTTTCCAAGTGTTAAGTTTTTACCAGTTTTCTATGGCTGAAAAAGCAACATGAGCAAGAACAGTAATCAACTTTAGCCACTGTCATTTCAGTCCAGTATTCAGTCAATCCTGAAATTATGTATAATTTTTTTCCAAACCAAACAGTTCGTGTTTTCATAGTCCTGTTTTTTTGCATGACTGAGTCTCAACTGACTCAGCAGGGGGATATTACCACAGCGACTGACGAGTGCTGAAGTTGATCAGTGTTGAGTTTCAATTAAAGCAACTGCAGGGGATGGTGGATCCATTCCTCTTTCTTTGATCGCCATTGCACATGCTTAAAGAGCAACATCTGAAGCTCCCAATATGTCGAAGCAGATAAGGTCAATATCTCAATTGGTTCCAAAGATGTTGGGCTTGTCCTGATTGCAAGAAACTATTGACCTTCATAGAAGCTAATCTGGCCATCAGTTTCTTTCGAACATTGGCTTGTTATTTTTATAGAGACAGGACTTTACTATTATTTTTTTCTTATTAAACAGTTCAGTGCAAATATGTTTTTATAAATTGTAGTCCTTAAGAAGAACAAAAAAAACCAAAACAATGGACCGATGAACAGTCGGTAGGTCTGAGCAAAAGGAAAACTCGAAATCGGTGCTGGTGTATCTATACAAAAAAGGATTTTTCAACATAATTAATGCAAGCAGTGTAAAAAAAAAAAAAAAAAAAAAAAAAAAAAA